ATCTGGTGTAATGTATTGTAACTTCATTTGGTGTAATGTATTGTAATTGTAACTTCATCTGGTGTAATGTATTGTAACTTCATTTGGTGTAATGTATTGTAACTTCATCTGGTGTAATGTATTGTAATTGTGATTTCATCTGGTGTTATGTATTGTAACTTCTCCAACTGCAACAAACTACATAGCAATCGCATCATTTGTATCATACCACATCGCAACATTAACAATTAATTATATTAAATTTGACCATTTGTTTGTTCTCCGGTAGAAATTCTTCTAGTTACCATTGAATTATTACACATTCATCAGGAATAACGCCATCTATTTTAAAAACAATGAATCAGGAGGGGAAGAACCAAAGGAACTAAATGCTAATAGATGCTGGACGCTGATAATTTTTTCTACATATAATTACATTACTCAAGCGTCTTTTCATCATAAAATGCTTTTAATAATAGGCATTTGTTTCTTAAATACTATTCAGATTTTATAAAATAAAATAATATGTCATAAAGACGAATAAAAATCACGAAGTCATTTCCTATCAGTTGTTTTTAGTAAAAGTTTGACACAATAAAGTCGTTTAAAACTCCGCATTGTCCAGTTGATACAATACAAGGTCATATGCCAAGAAGTACCCTGCAAAGGTCACGCAATGTTAATTATGCACATTGTCGAGACAACATACCGAACAGATCAACATATTATCATTGTCATCATCGTCATCATCATCCTTACCATCGACATTTCATTAGAAGACTAACCTAAGTTACAAAGATGTGGTAATTGAGGTTTGGTTGGGAATGTTGTCCTTGTATCGTTTTCCTTCTCAGGATCTGGAAGTTTTTGCAGTTGGGGTGGTTGTTGTGGCGGCTGTTGTAGTGGTGGCTGTGGCAGCTGTGGTAGTTGCCGCTGTGGTACTTGTTGTTGTGTTGGTTGTTGTGGTGGCTGCTGTGGTAGTTGTTGTTGTGGCGGTGGCTGTTGTTGTTCTGGTGGTGGCTGTTGTTGTTGTTGTGGTAGAGGCTGTTGTTGTTGTGGTGGTGGTAGAGGCGGCTGTTGTTGTTGTTGTGGTAGAGGCTGTTGTTGTAGCAGTTGTTGTTGTGGTGACGGTGGCTGCTGTGGTAGTTGCTGTTGTTGCTCCGACAGATGTTTTTGTTGTTTTGGCAGCCTCCGTTTCGGTCGTTGTTGTTTTCGTTTGTTGTTTCTCCGTTCTCTTACCACCACATCGTCTGCTTCCGTATCTATTGTTGACATTATCATTGCCAAATGATTTACTATCAACTGCAACCGTCACATCATCATCATCATTCAAATTAATGAGGTCAGAAAGCATGTGGCTCAGTGAAAACAAGTGTTGTATCAGAGTTTCAATTCATATACAGCGATGTTTCTCATTCAGAATCGACCTGATCTATCTAATGATTTAGTTTTTAGGATAATTCTTTATTACCGTGCCTCACACCCAGGCTGTGGAAGTTGAATACAAGTTTGTTTAACACCAACTCCTTGAAAATTTTCCCTCTCCCACTTCTGGCTTCCTAATCACCAAAACATTATTTCAACTTCTTTCGCTTAACAAATTCAAAAGAGTACCGTTACCTTATAACGCATGGCAAGCTATTTTCAAAGTAATCATTGCATGATCAGATGTGACACCAACTAGAAATACTGGAGTCAACTGATTGCCTCGAATCGATTTTCTTACAAATCATCAAAACCTCAATGGACGAGTTGAAACATTCAGAAATAAAAATAAATACATTCAAAATTAATCTGCCGGGCTTTATAAAATTATCATTATTCGATTTTATTTGGTCTGATCAACTTTACAGCAGTTTAATAAATTTTTGGCAGTGCAATTTGAACTCAATTTTAATGCTGAACTTTTTTATCCTTTTACCCATTCAAAATGCGTGGCAAGCATTCTAGATTACTCAACATTTTAATTAGATTTCATTTTGTATTTTAACTCATACAATGTTTTTTTTTCTCTGAAGATAAAAGTGTATTAAAAGATCTTAAAAGTGCGACATCACACGGAATAAGC